ATATTTCATTGTATGTACATACCACATTTTCTTTATCCATTGATCCATCAATAGACATCTGGGTTACTTTCACCTCTTGGCTATTGTGAATAATTCTGCTGGGAATATGGGTGTTCGAATCCCAACGTTGAATTCTTTCAAGTCTATATCTGTACATGGTTTTTAATTTTCTATTTTAACAGCTTTATTGGATATATGCCTATTAATATAAGAAGCAAATATACCTGGCCAGGTGCAGTGGCTCACGCCTGTAATCCCAGCACTTTGGGAGGCCGAGGCGGGTGGATCATGAGGTGAGGAGTTTGAGATCAGCCTGGCCAAGATGGTGAAACCCCATCTCTACTAAAACTATAAAATTTAGTTGGGTGTGGTGGTGGGCGCCTGTAATCCCAGCTACTTGGGAGGCTGAGGCAGAAGAATCGCTTGAACCCAGGAGATGGAGGTTGCAGTGAGCCAAGATCACACACTGCACTCCAGCCTGGGTGACAGAGAAAGACGGTCAAAAAAAAAAAAAAAAAAAAAGAAGAAGTAAATATACCTAACGTGTGTTGGGTAACACTGTATGCCTGGCACTGTTCTAGGTTCTTTAACTATGTCGTTATTTGATCTTTGTAATACAGTTGGGCAATGGCTCTTTTTTGGAAGAAGGTGGAATATCAGCTGTAACAAAGCCATTAACTAACTGAGCTGCCTCTACTTGCTTACTCCTTGACATATTCCTCAGCCTGAAGCAACATGACTCCACTCCCAGCATCATGGAAACTGTTTTAGCAAAGGTCACCAGTGACCTTCATGTTGCCAAATCCAGCAGAGACCTTTAAGTCTCTTACTTGCTACTGATTTTGAACCTGTTGACCATTCTTCCTTCCTGAACTTCTTCACCGGCACCTGGGACACCACCATTCTGTCCTGGTTTCCCCCTGTTTCTTTTTCTCCTCTGTCTCTTCGAAGGGTCCTGTCCCTCTGCAGACCCTCAAACGTGGGCACTTTTAATAGCTCTCCTTGAGTTACTGTTTTTCTCACTTGACAGCGCCTTTCCAGGTGACTCCCGGTCTTCTATGTCACTGTAGTCACTGCCTCTCGAAGCCGATGACTTCCAAGTCTCTACCTCTAGTCTTAGGCTCCACCCTGACCTTCAGTCTCACATATACAGCCTATTGCATTTCTCTCTAGAATGCTCCACAGTTATCTTAGCCTCAACATGTCCCAAGTGGAGCTCATTATGGCACCTCCCCCTGACCCACTGCCCAATCTCAGCAAATGACATCACAGACTCGGTTGCCTAAGCCACCAATCAATTGGCCATCCTCTAGTTTATCATCAGACCTCACCAGTCCCACCTCCTTGCTACTTCTCAGGCGGATCCTTCTTTTCTATTCCTTTTCCTCTTTCCAAATTCAGGTCTCGTCCTCCCTTGCCTGGAGTGTTAGAACCAGCTGTGGACTGGTCCCCCTTTCTCTAGTCTTGCCCTATTCAAATACATCTTCCACAGCTGCCAGATGGATTAATCTCAAACACAGGGCTGACCATGTCCCTCTATACTTAAAACTCCCTATGTCTTCCTGGCCCCTGTAGGATACAATCTGAGCTCTGAGAATGGCATTTACCCCTTCTCCTGCTGCATCATCGCCATTGCATGGTTCATCCTTCCTGTGAACGTGCACTGTGTTTCTACCACGCATCAGCAATGATGGGCAGGGTGCTGGAACTGGAACTGGGTGCAGTGATGAGAAATCAGACATGCTCTGGCCTCACAGCCAGAGAGGAGAGAGATAGTCACCCAAAAAATGTAGCGTCACTCAGTCTGGTCCGTTGCATAACGAAAAAGAACCTGGTGACAGAGAAGCATAGAAGAGGTAGGACTCGGGGGCGGGGGTAGAGCTCCAAAGAGAGGGAAAGGCCAGTGCCTGATCTTTCCTGCTGGTTCTGTACTCTCTCACTCTGCCTTCAGGATCCATCTCTTCTCCCTCTCCATTAATTCAGGCCTTCATGATTTCTCACGAGGATTGCTTTATTGTCCTCCTACGTGGTGGCCCTGCCTTCATCTCTTGGCCCACTTCACTCATTGCTGCCAGAATGTCCTTTCTAAAACCCAAATCTTCCAGCCTGAACAACATAGTGAGACTCCATCTTTACAAAAAATAGAAAAAAATTAGCTGGGCACGGTGGCATGTGCCTATAGTCCTAGCTGAGGTGGGAGGATTGGGAAGCTGAGGTGGGAGGATTGCTTGAGCCTAGATTGTTGAGGTTGCAGTGAGCTGTGATTGTGACACTGCATTCCAGCTTGGGTGACACAGTGAGACCCTGCCTCAAAAACAAAACAAAACAAAGCAAAAACAGAAAAGCTCACAAATCTGATCTTATTGCTGTTCAACTGACAACCCTTTGATGACTGCTACAGGAAAATGTCAACTTCTTGGTGTGACCTCTGAGGCCTTTCACAGTTGGGTTTTCTTCTCTCCTACCTGAGCTGCCCTCCCCTCCTCACCTCTCCTCCTCTTAGGCTGCAACTCTGCCCCACTGCTCATGAGTTCCCGAACAGGGCGTGCGTGTGCGTATCTTCACGCCTTGGGCCATGCCACCCTCATCACCGTATTGCTCCTCCTGCCCTCTCTGTTTCCTGCTTACACATCAAGGCCCCTCTCTGTGGAGCTGCCTCCTCTCTCTTAAGAAGGATGCATGGATCTGGGAGGATGCAGGATGCATTTCTGTGCCTTTAGGGCTCCTTCTGTGTCCACCTGTGCAGAGCCTGACATGCCACAGTTTGTTGGGCAACCTCTCTCCCAGCCTTAGCCTCTACAGGGTAAGAAAGGTGTCTGGTTCATCTCTTTAATGCTGGGCCGTGCAAGGGGTTTGGCAAGGAAAAGCTCCTCAGTAGCTGTTTACTGAACACAGGATTCCAAAATCTGAGCCTGACCCAGAAGAGAAGGCATGGCCCCACCTCATGGAATTTTCAGTCTGTCTGGATGGCACTGGTGGAGCAGTCACTCTGTTCTCCATTTCTGCCTTGCTAGGTGACTCCAGTTTTATTCAGGGCAGCAGCAGGCAGCTCTTAAAAAAATAAACAATAATCCAGAGCTTTGGGAGGCCAAGCAAGAGAATTGCTTGAGACCAGGGATTTGAGACCAGCCTGGGCAACATAGCGAGACACTGTCTCCATGAAAAATTTAAAATAATTAGCCAGGTGTGGTGGTGCATGCCTGTAGTCCTAGCTATTGAGAAGGCTGAGGCAGGAGAATAGATCAAGCCCAGGAGTTCAAGACTGCAGTGAGCTATGATTGTGCCACTGCACTCCAAACTGGGCAACAGAGAGAGATCCCATCTCTAAAATGAACGAACAAATAAACTCTATTTCCCAAATTCTCCTAAAGCCATGGGTGTCCATGTGATGTGGTCTCACCAGTGAGCTATAAGCAGATGTCTCCTGGATAGGGATCCCAGAGAAGTTATTACTATTGTGATGAAAACGGACAAACTCTCCGGCAGGTCCCACTTTGCCCTTTTCCCTTCCCAGTCTTCCTGTCTGGAATGCTGCCCTGTGAGCAGGAGGGAAGAAACCACCACATGGATGGTGGAGCAGGAGGGGAGTAGGCGCTGGGGGCCCTGTGTGGGATGAGAAGTTTCCATTCCATTCAAAAGGTGGTGGAAGCCACTGGAGGGTTTTAAGCAGGAAAGTGGCATGGCCTGATTTCCACTGTACAAAGCTGACCCTGGCTGGCTCGTGGTGAGTGCATTCGGAGGGCAAGAGTGAAGGCAGGGGCTTCGCCTGGGGGGTCCACCCTCCTTCAGCCTAGAGGCACCAGGCCATTGGCCTGGCCCTTATGGTCCCTTCAGAGCCCAAACATTGCTGGAAACTTTGCCCAGAAATGTGCTGCCTGGGGTCACTGAGAACACACCATGCCACCTTTGCCTGTCCATTTTGCAGATGAGCAGTATACACCCGGAGAGGCCTAAGGCTGCTTAGCTCTAAAATCATGGCTCACTCACCCAGTGCTTCTCATGTGGGGCCTAATCACTTGTGGTTAGAGAGGGAGCCCCACGTTCGGTCAGGAAGGGGTGGGGGCTGCAGGTAGGGGAGGGCATCACTGAGGCCCAGGAGAGAGACTTTAGTCCAGCAGTGAGGCAGTGCTGGCCCAGATTGGGATGGCTGTGGGGAGAAGGAGGAATGTGGACAGACTGGGACGTGTGTTGGGGGTGGGATGGTCAGGGACTTGCTGATCGCTTGGGTGTGGGGGATGAGGAGGGGAATTCGAGCTAACTCTGGGATATTTTGCTTAAGTACCTGAGTGGGTGGTGGTGTCGTTGACAGAGGTGGGAAGTCTAGGGAGCAAGGAGGAGGAGCAAGTTTGCAGGAAAAGCTGAGTTTGATTTTAACCATATGTATAATTTTGAGATAGCTCCTAGTCATTCTCCTGCAGTTGAATACACACCCTCGGAGTTCCAAGAGGCGGCCAGGACTGGAGATGGAGGCGTGGAGTCAATGACAGAGACCTGGTATTTGATGCAATTGGATGGGATGAAGTTATCTTGGGATCATTGGGAAAGAAGAAAAGAAAGAGGCCCAGGGATTCACCCTGAGATTATCCTGCACATAGACGCTGGGACATGGGGCAGAGTTGGCCAAACAGACAGAGAAGTAGACAGGGAGTAGGAAGAACGCCAGGAGAAGGAGCAGTGAAGGCCAAGTACAAAGCATTATAGGAAGTGGGAAGAGCTCCTGAATCAATCACTGCTGAAAGGCCAAGTGAAAGGAAAAGAAAGTGAACTGGACACTTAGGGGTCAGTGGTGACATGATGAAGGCTGAGTCAGCTAAGCCATGGGGACAGAATGCCCACTAAGAAAGTGGAGGCAGGAGGTGCAGACGATTTTTTAAACACTTTTTGCAGTGAAGGGGAGCAGAACATTGAGATGGAAGCTGGAGAGAGAAGTGGAGCCCCATGGAGCTGTTCATTTATCATGGGAGATCCTGGGGCAACCTGCTATGGATGACCTAATGGAGAAAGAGGAGGTGATGTGCAGAAAGAGGAGGTATCTATGGTTCAGATGACAGAAGTGGGATCCAAGACCCACATGGAGGGAATGGCCTTGGGCAGAGCAGTGGCCTTCATCCACAGGAGCAGGCGGGAGGCTGCCAGGTTTCACGATGGGAAGATGACTTTTCTGATTGATGCTATTTCCTGAGCAAAGCATGAGGCAAGCGAGGCTGGGGGTAGTGAGAGGTGTGCGGAGAGGGGAAAGGCTGAGACAGTTGCTCTGGAGAACGGCGAAGTGCAAGACACTGTAGCAGTGCTGTGGAACAACACTAGCGCCCAGTTGAGATTGCAGGCTATGAATTTAGAGGAAGCCAGTTTGTGTTTTCTCTACCTTTATTTTGCTGTGTGGGCGCAGGCATTGAGTAGGTGGGTAGTTGGATTTAACCCAGGTTGAGCATGATCTTTAAGTATGAAGAAGTAAGGGGAGAAAAGAAGATGAAAGATGGATGTGATGGCAGAGGGCTGATGGTGGTGACAGAGGAGGGTGAGGGGTGGGAGGGCTTGGCGAGGCAGAGGGATCGCTTGTCATCTGCAAGGATGACAGGTGGTCGCCCGGTGGGATGCTTGAAGTGGAGATTGTGTGGATGGTGCTGTTTTCATGATGGTACCAAATGTGATGCCCGTGGGAGTAGGTGGGGAGGAGGGTGACAAATGGTTGGACCATTCTGGTAGAGGAAGAGAGAGGCCCCAGTGTTGGGTGGATCTGCAAAGTGGATGTTGAAGTCACTAAAACTGATGGTAGGATGGGGGTGGGGAGGAAGACAGGGCAGATGTGTCAGTTAAGTCTGTGATGAATGTGAGGTGCAACCCGTTGGGGCAGTGGTGAGAGGTAAAGTCTACGGACATGGATTCAGAGAGGATGGCACTTTGACAAGGAAAGGGAGGGCAAATGTTTTGGGAAAGGCAATCCCAGGGTCTGTGGGGGCGTGGGAGAGGAAACGGGGAACTGGTGTGTTGGGGGCAGCCGGGTGTCAGTTAGGGAGAGTTCAAAACAGAGGCTGAGGATATGGGCTGCTTGTCATGACAGGGTCTGAGTCTCCAGCACAGAGAGGGGGTACTATTCCTGGAGGCTGGAGGTCTCAGTTTCTGTGGGAGGCTTAGATTCCTCATCTCTGTGGTTTCAAGTTCCTCAGAAGCGAAATGGTGTCATGGTCACTTTTGAGTGGGTGATAGGATGCTACAGGATGAGGGGTGTGGGCTCAGCCCTGGACTTGCAGGAGCTTTCTGGCTGTGCCTGGGCTGATGGGCATGGAGTGCCCAGCCAGGCAGACCCACCAGTTGGTAGTGGGAGGCTGATGGCCTCACTTGTGGTGGGAGGCCCCGCCCTCCACGCTGTCCAAGTTTTGCAGGTAAGAGATGAAACACATTTCGAGGGCGATTGAGCACTGGACACCGTGCTGTGGCTTGGCAGGCGCCCTCAGCACAGGTGTGTGGGTAATTGTGTTACATAGGAAGATGCACAAAACCACCAGCCCTGAGCTGGCCTTGGGGGGCAGGAGCAGACAGGGACTGGGCAGAGGTGGGACAGGGACATTACCTTCTTGCAGTGGGAAGACACCTCAGGGCACAAGCCCAGGTTGGCGAGAACATTTGCATTTCTTTAAACAAATGCCAGAGAGATGGGGGCAATTCAGCCTAGAGGCACCAGTTTCCATAGAGACGCCCATTGACCTGGCCCTTATGGTCCCTTCAGAGCCCAAACATTGCTGGAAACTTTGCCCTGGAATGTGATGCCTGGGGTCGCCGAGAACACACCACGCCACCTTTGCCTGTCCATTCTGTGGCTCAGCAGTACAAACCCGGAGAGGCCTAAGCCTGCTTAGCTCTAAAATCATGGCTCATTCGCCCAGTGCTTCTCATGTGGGGCCTAATCACTTGTGGTTAGAGAGGGAGCCCCACGTTCGGTCAGGAAGGGGTGGGGGCTGCAGGTAGGGGAGGGCATCACTGAGGCCCAGGAGAGAGAAGAGGCTTCCTGGAGGAAGCAGATCTGAGCAGGACCCGGGAGGATGAGCTGCATTTGGGGAGCTCTGAGGATAGGCAGGGCTTTCCTGGGCGAGGGCATAGAGTGGACAAAGGTGTGGCAGTGGAAGAGCCAGCATGTTGCCGGGACAGTGAGGTGTTTGCTGAGTCTGTTTTCAGGCTGCATAATTAACTGTTCAACTTGGCTGCTTTTGCATGGCTGGATTTAGGTAACCTCTTAGGCTGCCGTCAGCCCGGCTACCTTCTTTAGACTCTAAGCTTGTTGGTTGGAAGCGAAACGAGTATTCATCCAGTCTGCCCAGGTGGTCTCACTTAATCTTCTCATTAGCTCCTAGGAGCAGATGCTCTTGGCTCCATTGTGCAGCTAAGGAAGCTGAGGATCCACTGAAGGCTGAGAGTTTGACCCGTCCCTCCCACTGCCTACAGGACTATGGACAGAGCTAGGAGCATGCGTTGTGCACCCCTGACTGAGCGTCCAGGAAGAGAAGAGTCTCAGATAATCCCAAGGGCATCCCCTCAAAGTCTGATGGTCCTCTGCTCCTCTTTGGGGTTGTCTTGTAGAGCAGCAGGAAGAGCTATGAAGTCAGAAGCCCAGGCTGGGACCCCAGTCCTGCCCCACACTGGCTGGACCACCTTGGACCAGCCAATTCCCTCTCTGCCTCTGTTGCCCGATCTCTCGCATGAAGGGTTGGGCTGAACAATCTTCAAGTCCCTTCAGCTGTGTAAGCTGGGGCCACTAAGCTTCATTTTTTTTGCCTCCAGCCTGCTCGAGGCTGAGAACTTGGTTTGTGCCTGCCTCTGGCCTGCCTTAACCACGGATTCGATGCTTCTTGGGTCTCCTCTTACTCAAACACGTCAGAAGCTGAGACCTGTCTCAACATAACCTCATATCAGGGGGTATTGTCTCAAATGGGTTCACCTGTTGGTCCGAGCCTCATTCCTTATGAGCCTTTTGAATCTGCATTCCCCATTGAAAGCAGACATTCATCCAATCAGGCATGTGATAGATCCGCTAGGGCTCTGATACCAGCAGCTGCCATTGACTGAGTGCCTGCTATGTCAGACACATTCCATATTTTGCATCTGTACACTCTTCCTGCCAGGAATAGAGTTGTTTCCCTGTTATGCTGTTGACAAACTGCGGCCCAGAAAGGTTAAGTGACTTGACTAAGCTCTTACGACTTGGAGGTGGAAGAGTGGGGTTAGAACCCAGAACGCTGTGACTTCAAAGCCTGGGCTTCTGCCATGTGACATATCAGTGAGATGTCCATCCCTGGCTGGGCCCTAGGATCCAGAGACATCACACCAATGACCCTGCCTGCCCACAGGGCATCCTCAGCAGCTTCTCTTCCTCAAGCCTAGGAGTCTATAATCCTGGGCTATTCCCTTCCTGGGGCCACTCCTCAGAAAGGGCAATCAGACCCCCTGGGTGGTCTTTCTGTGGCATTGAGTGGACAGGGGCCTCCCTCTCTGGCTTGGGCAGGCAGGCGTGTGCTACTGTCGTCTCTAGGCAGCCATCGGATGAATAACTGATGGTGATTAGCTCAATCATAACATCGCTCATGCCATGCATAAGTGATGAGCCAACTGGTGCCAGGCCGCGATGAGAGGCAGTGGGCACCCCCACCTCACCCCCCAGCCCGGAGAAGCCACCACCGCGCTCCCTCCCTGTGTTATCTGGCACATCAAGTGCTGCGACAATGAATATAGATTGACCTTATTATAGCAGCCGGCTGCTGGTGCCAGGCGCAGCCAGGCATACTTTGCACAAATTAAAGGTGTCAGCATGTAATTTACGGTTCATGGTGAATAGGGGTGATGGGGGTCGGGGAGGCACTGAGGCAGGTAGAAAGGAAGGTGGGCTGGCTGCGGGGCTGGCACCAGGAGCCCAGGCGCTAATGACAGGAGGCACAGCCGAGGTGTCATTTTCATCCCGCTTTGCTCATTTTTAGCTATTTCTTGCTCAAGGGGGGCAGCCCCCTCTCCTGAGCTCTCCCCGACATGCTCTGTGTGCATGTGTGCGTGTGTGTATTTTTCAGTTAAATTACTGGTTTTACCTGAAGAGCGTAAAGTAGGTGTGCTAATTTACGGCTCGGCAGATAAAGCCGCAGTGTGCAGAGCTGTCTGGGAAGCCTGTGATCCGACATCATTTTACTAACACACCCGAGAGCAGCTTGACACATAGAGTCGGGCCTGTGATTAAAGTTGTAGTCTTCTTTCCCCCTCCCTCTCGCTTCTCCAACACGGAGAACAGATTAAACTCTAAGTAATAGATCTCGGTTTTCTTGCCATCCCACTGATATACACAGTACACAGTTTGACACAAAGAGTAAGTTATACATCACAAACAACAGCCTCTGCTCTTTACCGCCCAGAATTAATTTTCCATTTGCTACGCTTCCCTCCTCTCCAAGCCCATTTTCCTGTCCAGCAGGGCTCTGTCCTCTCTTGAAAAGGCAGGGGAGGGGAAGTGCGGGTCGCGCCTGGAAGAGGTGGCTCAGGACGGAGAGTTTAGCCCCTATGGTTTAAGGATGAGGAAACAGAGACCTGGAGAGAAGCGACTTCCTGATGTCGCCCTTTGTGTGTGTGGCAGTGGTGAGGCTGAAACCCATCTTTGGGTTGATGAGCCAGGCCCCACCTCCCACGCCCAGGCAGCAGAGGCTGCCCGAGGAGCTGCTTGTTTGTCTTCCCTGCTCTTCCCTGCCACCTGCCAGGCAAACTGTCTCTGCTTCTCTGCCCTGCTCTGTGCCCCAGGAGGGGACCTCTAAGGGCTGCCCATGCCTCTGGCCACTGCCTGGGCTTGGCCAGCGGGAGAAACCAGAATGAGAAGCAACAGTGGGAGGAGAGAGGGGCTGGGCAATTTCTCCTCTGCTTCTCCCTCTGGGATGCCTGTCTCTGGGAAGAGCTGCCTCCCTCTGTGACTGCCCTACTGTGGGGTGGCCCCTCCTTCATGGATCCCACTCCTGCTGGGCTCTGGCCATGACATGCTGCCCTG